CTGAGGAGGAGGAGAGCCCAACCTGAGGAGGAGAAGGAGGAGGAGAGCCCAACCTGAGGAGGAGAAGGAGGAGGAGACCCCAACCTGAGGAGGAGAAGGAGGAGGAGACCCCAACCTGAGGAGGAGGAAGGGGAGGAGGAGGAGACCCCAACCTGGGGAGGAGGAACCTGGGGAGGAGGAAGAGGAAGGGGATGAGGAGAAGGAGGAGACCCCGTCCCGGGAAGGAGGAGGGGTCCGGGTAGAGGCCCAGCCCCGAGGCCCTGCTCACAGCCTGGTCCCCGCGCTCGGTGTCGCCTCGGGACCGCCGTCAGGGTTGTCCAGAGCCACCATGGCCTGCAGCCGCTGTGGCAGCCGGGCCCGAGGCCGCGGAGGAAGTGACGCGGGGGGCGGAGTCTGCAGCGGCCCGGGGCGGGGACAGCCCGGGAACGCATTGGCTGCCGGGGTAGACGCTCTGCCTAGCGGTCCCTCCGCGGAGACACAGGGCGGCGTCGCCCCCGGAGCGCGCTGGGGACTAGCGGGGCTGAAGACTCAGTCTCGGCCCCCCCCTCCCCGGGAAGAGAGCGTGGAACACACCGGCCCGGAGGCGACTGAGGAGACGCGAAAGGCTCCCGGGGCGGAGGCGTGGGAGGGGTGCGCGCGCCCTGGGAAAGGAGACCCGGAGGCGGACACCACACCCCCAGGCCACCTGTCGGAGCGGCCTGGTGCGGAGAGCCGAGGGCGGGCTGGACGTGGTGCACGCCCTAGCGCTCCCGAGGCTGAGGCAGGGGGATCGCGGGAGCTCCAGGCCGGCAGGAGCTACAGACCTGAGTCCGGTGGAGGGGCAGGTGTTCAAAGGCGTCATCCACGGCAGTTCAAGGCCAGCCTGGGCTACGTGAAAGCCACACCCCTTTTTAAAAAAATTTAAGGAAAAAAAACTATTTCAAACAAACAAAACAAAACAAACCGACCCAAGAGGAAGCGTCCCCTCTAAGGCTCTCTGTAGACAGGTGAAGGGAAGCCTGTGCGCATGAATCCGGGCCCAAAGGACCCAGGGGACGGGTCTGTGAGGGGACCAGGAGGCTTCCGTGCCAGGTGTCACACCGGAGTCGCTCTGGGGGTGAAAGGGAGAGGAGGGGGTCGTTCTAGAGCCCTCAGTCTGCATCTGCTCAGCCGCCAGCAACCTCAGAACCCGGCTTCCCGCTCCCTGCCGCGCAGCTCACCCCGCCCCGGTGTGGGGGTGAAGCTCTGGCCCTGTCTGGGTGGGTGGGGGTGAGCCTGTGGCCCTGTGGTGGAGAGTTCTACTACCACCGAGCCCCACCTTCCGCCCCGCCCTCCCTTCAGCTCGTTCTAGTTTTTATTAAAACGGCGGCCCCTTTTTCTCTGCTGTATAGAGCTCTGGGGGCTTGGCGAGCATGGCCTCTCAGGGAGGCCGTGAGCTACATGTAGCCGGGGTGTGGCGGTGTGGCTGAGCTCGGTGCCTCACGGTTCCTGCCAACGGTCCCGAAGTGCCCCTCCCCCGACAGGAACCCGCCGCTGGGTGCCAGGTAGCCGAGGAGCCAGATGCAAGCGAAGGCCCCGCCCCTGGCCGAGGCTCCGCGGTCCCCTGCGTCCAGCCGCCGGCGGCCCTGCGCCAGCCACGACCGTCCGCGGCTCGGCGCCCGGAGCCCTCCCTCCTCCAGCCCACCCCTCCTCCCGTCATCCGGGCACAGCTCTGGGGAGAGCGAGCGCGAGGCTCTGGAGCGGCCACTACGCAGGGACACGCGAAGGCGGGGACAAGGAGGGGGGCGAGAGGGGTATAAGAGTGGCCGCTGCCGGAGGAGCCGCTTTCCAGCCCCTGCCGCCTGCAGCAGAGACCAGGGCGCTGGCATCCCGGGAGGGCGGCCCTGAGGAGGAGAAACAGGGGTCCCCCCCCCCCCCCGCCTCCGTGGTCCCGGGACGCAACCCGCGAAGGCTGCCTGGAGGAGGGTGCCGGGGCCATGGCCAGCGAGGCGACGTTGGGTCCCAACGCGACCTGGTGGGCTCCGTCCAACACTTCGGGATGCCCAGGCTGCGGTGCCAACGCCTCGGACGGCCCGGGCTCCGCGCCAAGGCCCCTGGATGCCTGGCTGGTCCCCCTGTTCTTCGCTGTGCTCATGGTGCTCGGGCTGGTGGGCAACTCGCTGGTCATCTACGTCATCTGCCGCCACAAGCACATGCGGACGGTGACCAACTTCTACATCGGTGAGCGAGCAGCCCCGGGGGCCCGCGGACGCCACTCTGTCCCCGCCGTGCGCGCCGCGGCGCCCTGTCCTTGGGAAGCTGCGGCCGCGAACTCCAGAGGGAGCCTTCCACCCGGCGGGGCGCTGGGGGGTGGGTGGAGGCCCGCCATCTCTGCGAGATGTCTGTCCTGTAGACGTGAGGGCCTCGAGACGAAAGGGGGCGGGTGTGACGGAGCCTGACTGGCTGGAGCAGCCTGGGACTCCCCAGCGCACTCCGACGGGAAACGGAGGCACAGAGGGACCCGAGAATGCGTGCATTCTCCCTGCTGGAGGGTGGGAGGTCACACCTGCCGGCCAGCGTCCGCGTGTCCCCCCCCCCGCCCCGCAGCCAACCTGGCGGCCACAGATGTCACCTTCCTGCTGTGCTGCGTGCCCTTCACGGCGCTCCTCTACCCGCTGCCCGCCTGGGTGCTGGGAGACTTCATGTGCAAATTCGTCAACTACATCCAGCAGGTGCGCGGGCTGAGGCGGGGGCCAGCTGGGGAGGCCGGAGGGCCGGGGAGCAGGTGGAGGGTGGCGGAGGGGCCGGGAGCTCGGCGGCGTGTGTGCCCCGCGAGACGTGTGGTCAGGGCATGGGCGGGATCGGAGCCTGGGTGGGCGCGGTGGGGGCCTGGTAGGGTCAGGGTCCGGGCAGCACCGGGTGGGGTCGTGATCTGAAATGAGGCATGGTCTTTCATTTACTTATTTTAGATTTCTTAAACAGAGTCTCCATAGACCAGGCTGGCCTCGAACTCACAGCGATCCTCCTGCCTCTGCCTCCCGAGCTCTGGAGGTTAAAGGCCTGCATCGTTCTAGCTGGCTCCTTGTAAATTTCTTTTTATTTGCTGTGTGTGGGTGTTTGCCTGTCTGCACGGCTTTGCTCCATGTGCGTGCAGTGCTCATGGAGGCCAGAGGGGGCGTCGGAGGCCCTGGAATAGCATTTACAGCCGGTGGTGAGCTGGCCTGTGGGTTCTGGGAACCGAACCCCAGTCCTCCGAAAGAGCAGCCGCTCTGACTGCTCAGCCTCTCCCCAGGCCCCACACAGCACGCTCTTGCAGGGCAGGGGTCAGAGCTTGGTGTGGGCAGGGAGGGGTTGGGGCATCTTGCGGGCTGTGGCCTAGCACGCACACAGCGACCACAGGAGCACCACGCGGTGCGCTGTCCAGTCTGGGTGGCCGTGGTCTCGCATGGGCAAGACTAGGGTGCACAGAACACCCCAAGTTCTGGGGTGCGTGGGGTGGGGGTCAGGGTAGAGCGGAGGCCAGGGCTTTGTAAGCAGGGGCAGGGCCGGTCTGGTGGGCGTGGTCTGGGGTGGGCGTGCTCGTGGGCAGAGCGGTGAGGCCAAGCAGGGGTGGGGAGGGGCGCATCACGAGAGGCCAAAGGTCTCCAAGGGTCTTCACCCCAGGAGATTCCGTGCCTCAGCTTTGGGGTACAGTTTGTCAGGGGTTTCTCACTCCTGCCCGCGCTCCCCTGGTCCTCAGGCCCCACACTGGCATCCCCTCAACCTCGGCCACTGGTCCCTCCTCTCAGGACACGGCCGTGCCCACCTGAGAGGGTGGACACGTGGTGGGACTGGCAGGGCCCACCCTCTGGCCTTGGCTCCCCCAGGTCTCGGTGCAAGCCACGTGCGCCACGCTGACGGCCATGAGCGTGGACCGCTGGTACGTGACGGTGTTCCCGCTGCGCGCCCTGCACCGCCGCACCCCGCGCCTGGCCCTGGCGGTCAGCCTCAGCATCTGGGTGGGTGAGTGCGCTCAGGGGTCGGGCCGGGCTGGGGGTGGGGACAGGGCGCTGGGCCTCGGGGGAGGTGCGCACGCGGGGGTGAGCGCGGTCGGGGGCGCCGTGTCTCCTCTCCCCGGAGCGCCGCGCTCACCCCGGCGGGCGGCCCAGGCTCTGCAGCCGTGTCCGCCCCGGTGCTGGCCCTGCACCGCCTGTCGCCCGGGCCGCGCACCTACTGCAGCGAGGCGTTCCCCAGCCGCGCCCTGGAGCGCGCCTTCGCGCTCTACAACCTGCTGGCCCTGTACCTGCTGCCGCTACTCGCCACCTGCGCCTGCTACGGCGCCATGCTGCGCCACCTGGGCCGCGCCGCCGTGCGCCCCGCGCCCACCGACGGCGCCCTGCAGGTGCGGGGCTGGGGCCCAGGACGGGGGGCGCCTGGGGCGGGGCGGAGCCTGGGGGTGTGTGTACGTGTGGGGGGCACCCAGGAAGGATCTCAGAGGGCGGCCTGTCCCCTCCCGCTAACGCTCCGGAGTCCCTAGGGTCAGCTGCTGGCGCAGCGCGCCGGAGCGGTGCGCACCAGGGTCTCCCGGCTGGTGGCCGCGGTGGTCCTGCTCTTCGCCGCCTGCTGGGGCCCCATCCAGCTGTTCCTGGTGCTCCAGGCCCTGGGCCCCGCGGGCGCCTGGCACCCTCGCAGCTACGCTGCCTACGCGCTCAAGATCTGGGCCCACTGCATGTCCTACAGCAACTCGGCGCTCAACCCGCTGCTCTACGCCTTCCTGGGCTCGCACTTTCGGCAGGCCTTCTGCCGCGCGTGCCCCTGCGGCCCGCGACGCCGGCCAAGGCCCAGCGCGCCTCCGCCCTCGGCCCGGGCCGCAACCCGCGCCGCGCCGCACAGCCTGGCCGCGCGCGCCGCCCGGGCCAGCACCCCCGCGCCCTGGAACCCTGCGGCGCGCTCCGTGTGAGCCGCCCCTGCCCCTAATCAGCCTAGGCCGCTTGGGCTCCGGAGACCCAGCGGTTAATAGTTTAGTTCATCTGTGTAAAGGGCCTTCTCTTCTTCAGTTCGGCCCCGGTGGCCAGGTTGTGATAATTCTGTCTGTACTTCGTGATGTTTGAAGATTAAGGTTCCCACTTTCTGCATCTACTTTTTCTTTTCTGGTGCTGGGAACCGAACCCAGTACTTTGTGCTTATTAGGCAAATGACAGACTACTAAACCAAATGCCCAACCTCTCTTTTTTCCTTCTTCCTTATGCCTTGCTTTTTTTTGAAACGGGGTCTCATGTAGCCCAGGCTGGTCTCCAACTCTACGTAGCTGAGACTGACCCTATTGCTATGGCCCCCGGGACCTAAGCCACCAAGCCCAGCTTTGCTTTTTCTGTTTTGAGATAATGTCCCAAAATCAGGGGGAAAAATTTTTTTTAAGGCTGTAAGATCATGTGTACTTCTTAGGATATTTAAATTAGAAAACAAAACTCCAACACGCATGTCTTTATGAGTCCAAGGTCACCCTCAGCTACATGAATGTTCCAGGCTGGACCAGACCCAGTATCCAAAGCAGACAAGCAGGGCTCTTTAATCCCAGCACTGAGGGGGCAGAGCAGGAGGATCTGTGAGTTCCAGGCCAGCCTGATCCACAGAGCAAGACCAGGAAAGCCGGGCAACAGAAGGAGGGGGAGGAGAGAAACAGCTCAGTGGTTAAGAGCACTGACTGCTCTTCCTAAAGGACTCAAGTTCAAACCCCAGCCGCCCACCCCCTATAAGTGTTGCTCCAGGGCGTGTATGCCTCCTGGCCTCTGCAGGCACCAGGCATGCACATAGCACACAGCCATGCATGTGGAAAACACCTACAGGCATTTTTTTTTTAATTAAAAAAGTGACAGGGCTGGTTAGCAGTTAAGTGCTCATCCTGTGCTTCCAGAGGACCAGAGTTCGATTTCCAGCACCCACCTCAGGTGGCTCACAAAGACCAGGTGTGGGACCCCTGGAACTGGAGTCACATATGTCTGAGCTGCTGCATGGGTGCTGGGACTTGAACTCAGGTCCTGTGGCAGGGCTCTCGGTGCTCTTAATGCCTAAGCCACTGTCCAGCCCCACACTGTGGGTATTATTTTGAGATAGGGTCCCGCTGTGTAGCCCTGATAGGATGGGAGTCGCCATGTGGATCAGGCTGGCCTAGACTCTCAGTGACTTCCTGCTCTGAGAGCTGAGGGCTGTGGGGAAGGGGGTCAGCCTCTTTCTGAACCTGGAGCTAGGGATTCCTCCAGGCCAGCTGGCAGCCCTGAGCGCCAGGAATCCTGTCCCACAGCCAGCGCTGCACAACCAGGGGACCCCAGCAGGCCTGGATTTCCACGGCTTCATGGAGCCATTTCCCAGGAGGGAACAGTCTGAAGTCATTTTGCTGGGAGGCTAAGAATCACAGGAGGAGAAGGATACGAACGTAGCTGCTCACCCAGGGTGGCCAGGAAGCAGAAGGGAGCAAGGGCCCAGGTCTGCCTCATCCTGAAAGAACCCAAGTCCTCGTCAGGCCCCAGCTCCCACTTTCCATCACCTCCAGACAGCCACCGCCAAATTACAAACCCACCGTGACATTAATCTATCCTCAAGGGTTCCGTAGACCCCCACCTGTTAGGAGAGGTCTTCAGTGGGTGAGGCCGACAGGAGGATGGCAAATCTTCACATCCACGAATGGACGAAAAGCCCACCTCACTCCCCAAAGCCTCAGCTGTAAAATCCCATAGAGAAACCACAGTGGTGACCGGGCCGTGGTGGGAGGATTTCTGGGAGTCAGGCCAGCCAGGGCTACACGGTGAGACCCTGTATTGCCCTGGCTGTCCTGGAACTCACTCTTTAGACCAGGCTAGCCTTGAACTCAGGGACCCTCCTGCCTCAGGCATAAAGGCAGAGCCACCGCCACCACTGGACATGCGCCTCACCTCCTGCCTAGGATCCCCCCAGTGAGGGGCTGGGACTTGTTCAGGCCTGGAGCACTCAGCCTGGATTCCATCCCCAGTATCTAAAAGCCTGGATAAAATTTGAGAATGACGTGGCCACGTGCAGTGCCCCTTGTGTGTAATTTTAACTTCGTGGTAAACTGAGGCAGAAGGATCATGAGTTCTAGGCTATGCCGTTCACACCCTGTCGGGAACAAAAAAGGCTATGTAGGAGAAAAATGACTTCAGGCCTCAGTTTCTCCAAATTGCACACGGGAAGCTGGCTTTTTAGGTGCAAAGGCGCCACCTGGCGGCCACCGGTCACTGGCTCGAAGCCCCGCCTCCATGCGGAGCCACTCCTGGGATGCAGTTCCGCCGGCGCCCCGCAGAGGGTGCGCGCACTCCGCCGCGCCGGTCTCCAGAGCCGTCTCCAGTGCCGTCTCCTGTGGGTCCCGGGAGGCGGGTCATTATGGACGCCACCTGGCCCCTGGCTACAGCTATCTCTGCCATAAAGGACACCAGCAGATTTTAGCTTTTGTCTTGGAAGATTCTTTCTATAAAAAGATACCAAAACAGTATTTCCAGGGGTCCGCAACATGGCTTACCAGGTAAGGCCACTTGCTGACAAGCTTAGCATCCCCAAAAGGATGGGGATTCACAGGAAGGTGGGAGGAGAGCCCTGAGTCCACTCGGTTGTCCTTGCCGCCGTGCATGCGCCACGGAAGCCCCTCTCCCCATTGCACGCACACGCGCGCGCGCGCACAAACAAATAGAATTTATTTCATTTGAAGCTATTACGAAGCCAGCCGCGGCGGTGCACGCCTGTAACCCCAGCACTCAGGAGGCAGTGGCGGGCAGACTGCTGTGAGTTCAAGGCCAGCTTGGTCTACAAAGTGAGTCCAGGACAGCCAGGGCTACACAGAGAAACCCTGTTTCGACACACACACATAAAGTATTATTTTGCTACCGTATGTCTGTCTTTTAGTCCCAGCATTCCTGGGGCAAGTAGCTCTCTCTGAGTTTGAGGGCTGCTGTGGAATACACACACACACACACACACACACACACACACACACACACATCCCAGACACAAGTCAGATTGTCTTGGGCGGTTGTCCAAATTCACAGGAACCCCCGAGCTGCTTCGGGTTGGGGTCCGTGTGCGTGGTGCACAGGTTTGGAGAGAAAGGCCCGTCAGGATGCTGGAGAACCCCGGTGTGCGCAGCCCGGCTCCACCCCGCGCCACGCCCCAGCGGCCGGCCCAGAGCACCTGAGGCAGGATTCTGGGGATCGGGTGGGCCAAGGCCACCCCGCGTCCGCAGACGCGAGCCCTCCCCACCAGAGGCTTTCGAGGGGCGGAGCAGCCGGCCAACCCGGCACCCGAGCACCACCCACGGGGAGGCTGCCCTGAGCACTGGCGCTACCCACTAGGGTCGCCTCGGCTTTCCCTCCTGCAAAACGGGGCCCCGGACGCCCGCTCCAGACTGAGACGGTCCGCGTGGACCGAGCCGGAGCGTCGCGGAGGCTGGCCCTCCTCTCCCTCGCTCCTAGGCGGGGTCGCCGCGTTTCCTCGCATTTCCTCCAACGCGCGCGCACCCGACTCCGTGCTTTTGCGCAGGCGGCCCCCGCTCCCGCCCCCGCCCACCCCCGCGTCCCGGACCCTGCAGCTCCGGCCTCTGCGGAGTTTTTAAGCCCGTTTCAGAGACTTGAAGACCCAGGCTGGGAGGGTTTGGGTAGCGAAGGGGCCGAGGTTGAAGCTCCAAGCTTGGCCTGTCCACTCCCGTGCCGGGTGGAACCAGGGAACGCCGGGGAGCAAAGCGACCCTCCGCTCTGAAGCGGGGTGAGGAGCCTTTCAACTCTCCGGGATCCCCGCGATGGGGCTCTCGCAGCCCCGCCCTCCCGCTCTCCGCCCCTGCGCCGTAGGCCGCGGGGTGCACTTTGCGCACGGTCCCTAAGCCGGGGGCGGAGCGTCCCTCAGTCCGGTTCCCCCTTCCTTTTATTATTTATTATCATTTAAAGGAGCCGCGACCTGAAATTTTCCGTCCACTCTGTGGCGACTCTCTGGCTCCCCTCCACCTCCTCCCACCGTGGGCGTCCTCTGACTGAGTTGGAGAGAGGGGACCCCGGGGTGGTGTCCTGGGAAAGCTTAGAAAGGGGGTCCCTGGAGAGACACCCACCACCTCCTCCTGCGTCCCCGGGGCTGCTGAATCACCGGCGAGGTATTTGCATCTGAGAGCAATTTGTCACACGGCGATTCGTCTGCTGGGTGGGGGAGGGGCGGGGCGGGGGGCCGGTCGCGAGCGGAGACCTCGTCCCTGTCCGATCCGGACGGATGGAGGTGTAGACGCGGCCTGGAAACTCGGTGAGGCGGGTGACCCCGGAGCCAGGAGCGTGCACCGGGCAGCAGGGGGAGGCCAAGGGGGAGAGAGGCCACCGGGGCCACCACCGGGCTGGACTCCGGGCACCTGGGCATGCGTCCCCCGGGCCACCCCGAGCGGTAAGGCCTTTTGCAGCGCGGCTCCAGCGGTTCCCCGTAAGAGTGGCAGCGAAGGGCGCCCTGGAAACCGACAACTGCAGGGTCTCCAAAGTTAGGCGAAGACACGCGCGCGCCGGGGGGGAGGGGGCTACGGGGCTGGGCAGGCAACGCGACACCATCAGGCTGGGGGCGGCTGTCGCGGCCGTAAGGTCTCGGAGACCTTCATCCGGTACGCGAGTGCACAGGGGCGCGCGGGGGTCGCGAGTGCGCGCTGTCCCCTGGCGGAAGGAAACGGACCCGGGGTGTGTGAGCGGTGTGTGTGTGTGTGTGTGTGTGTGTGTGTGTGTGTGTGTGTACTCGTGCAGGGGGCCAGGGGCTGTGCTCTGGAGACATTGTTTTGCTTTTTCTTCTTAATTAAAAAAAAAAAAATGTTTGAAGATAGGATCTCATTGTGTAGTCCGGGCTGACCTAGAACTCCGCTTAAAGCGCGCAGACTGGCCTGGAACTCCAGGCCATCCCCCTGCCTCAGCTTTCCTTCCCAAGTGCTTGGGAAAATCCCAGGCCGGGCGCGCCACCACGCCCCGGTGTCCTCAGTTCTTTTTCTTCTTCCAACCTGTGTCCAACGGGGTCCGAGTTTCCTCCCCTTTCGTTTCCTAGCTCCAGCGAACCACTAGGGACCCCGCTTCCCTTGCGGGGTCCACCCATCCAGATCTCTCCCGTGGGGTCCCAGCCCCCCCTCCCTTGCCCCCGGACACAAAAGAGGGAGCAGGAAGCGCGGAGTGCGCGCGCGTGTGTGTCAACTCGCAGCGGGTTTGTCAAATACCTTCCGTTTTTTACGACTGGGGAAGCAGGGTTCCCCCAGCCCGGAGCTTGCTCTTTCCTAGAAGCCTTTGAAATCCCGACTACGTGAGGGGGGCGGTTGTTGGTTTGTTTTGTTGTTGCTGTTTTCCATTCGTCCTCTGACTGAGATGTGTGTTTGCACACGTCTCCTGGTGAGGGGGGACAGACACAGTGCCCTCCTTCCCAGCCCCCTCCCCAGCTCCTGCCCTTCCCCCTCCCCCTCCCTCGGAGGAGAGAGGGGCCCCTTTCGCCACCCTCGGGCCCTGGCCTTGCACAACTCCAAATAACCATGTTTTGCAAGGCCTGGCTGAGCTGGTGACCTCTCTCTCTCTCTCTTCTCTCTACTCTCTTCTCTCTCTCTCCCCCTCCTGAGGCTTGGAGGTGTGGGGGAACCAGGGTGTGGCTCTGGGTCTCCTTCCCACCCCCACCCCAGCCAGACCTTCCCCAAACACACACACACACACACACACACACACACACACACACACACTCACTAGCCACCAAGTCCTGGGTAGACCCTCTCTCTCTCTCCCTCTCTCTCTCTCTCCCTCTCTCTCTCTCTCCCTCTCTCTGAGAATGTCATAAATTGCGGGTGGGGGCCAAGGACAAAGAGCTGGGGGAGGGGTCTCCACAGATGTGTCGGAGCAGCCTAGGGGCGATGGGGTACCACCGGTAACCCGGGAGGGTTGGGGGATGTCCAGGCCTGGCCTAGGGACAGCTCTGGGGTTCGTGTCTGCCCCCCTCACCAATACCAGCCGCGCCAGTGGAGGCCTGCCCTGTTCCCCTCCCCCACCCCTCAACCAGGAAGGGTCATTAAACCAGGCAGGCCTGGGGGGAGGCTGGGAAAGCGCCTTCCTCTAGCCTTTTCCTTGTGGGTCACCCCACCCTCAAAGAGGGGGCGTCGCTCTCAGCATTTCCGTGGGGGGGGTGGGCTCCACTCCAAGTTGTCAGAGGTGGGGGAAGGGCGATGGACCAAGCCATACAGTGTCCAGAAATGTCCCCTTCAGCAGTTCTGGGGTTTGGTGGACCAGGGTGACCAGCAGCGGCGGGTGTGGAGGGAAGAGCTTCCAGTGCCCAGGCCTCTGGTGTTCCTGTCCTGGGAAGCCCAGGCTGATGGGGCCACCCCACCTGCCGCAGTTCTGCTGGAAACCCCGGGGCGCGGGTGACCAGATGGCCAGGAAAGGGGACCGCTGACTTCCCCGCTCCCCTGCACTGCAGGGGTCTCCTGGGTGGGGGCAGGTGACCGGATGTCCCTAGTGTGAAGAGCAACTAGGTCCCCTCCTCACACACCCGTGTCAGGGTGTCAGGGTCTGTCCTGGGGCCGATGAATGCATAGACTTCGGGGCTCAGGTTGGGCCAAGGGTGACCTCTCGGACTCCCTGGGAGGTGGGACCAAGCTTTCCCGCTCTCCCATGCTCCCTCCCTTGATTTCAGGTCATCTTGAGTGTGTCAACCCTGGCCTGCTGCGTTCTGCCCACTGTCTTATTGGGGGTTTATGTGGGGATTGAGGGTGTGTCCTGGGGCCAGGTGGGACCTGGATCCTGATGCTAGCTGGAGGGGGCCCCAGAAGGGCTTCTGGCAGAAACAGATACGTGTTCTGGGACATTTACCCGCTTCGAGCCTTACAAACTGGTGACCGCAGACCCATGTCCTCTGCACAGGGCCTTGGGTACCACAGGACACTCTAACTGAACCCCCCGATGGTGCCGACCAGTGCTGCCTCTCCCGAGTGTGACGAGGTGGGCCCTGATGCCTCATGGGTGGCAGACCGAAGCCCAGAGGCCAGCTGAGGTGTCTCTGAGAAAACGAAATGTGAACGGGACACATTTTCCTAGGGCTTGTATACAGCAAGTGTATAATCTTGGCGAGAGCTTGTATACAGCAAGTGTATAATCTTGGCCAGAGCTTGTATACAGCAGTTGTAATCTTGGCCAGAGTTCTCAGAGCTTCTGTGGGCCAAGCAACATCTAGAACTTAGAGCTAGAATCCAGAACCCAGAGGGACTCTGAGGTCTAGAACCCCTGTTCTAGACCAATAAGAAAGCAAGAACACCAGGCCCCTCCCCCATGGCTCTGCTTATGGGACAATAACTCAACGTGTCCCTGGTGGACCTGACCGGAGGGGACCCAGAGAACCCCTAAGTGTCCACTGCAGTGAGCCTGGTCTCCAGGAACCTACAGACAAGTGGATGGGAGGGCGGATCCTGAGCAGGTTATGAGCGATTCTCCCATCAGCCTTTGCTGTTGACTTCTGGGGAAGGCTGTGTCGGTGGGGCGCAGGTGTGGCCTGACCTCATCTCTTGCTGTGTTCCCCCAGGAGTCTACAAGTGCTTGAATGAACCCTACACCAGCCTCTGCCCCTGGCTGCTGGACGTGACAGCAAGGAGCCCAGTGGTTGCCCCGGGCATGCCCCACCAGCCCTCAGCCTGAGTCGGCGCCCCGCCCCTGCCGCCGCCACCCTGCACTGTCCCGGCTCCCCCGAGGCCCCCACGCTGCAGTGCGGCCAAGACCCCTCCCCGCAGGGGCCACCCCCACAGCCCGCCCCTGGTGCCCGGGGTGGCCCGGCCCGCAGGGCCATGAAGCTGCAGGCTGTGATGGAGACCCTCCTTCAGAGGCAGCAGCGCGCGAGGCAGGAGCTGGAGGCCCGGCAGCCGCCAGCCCCACCTCCTGAGCCCACTGGTATCCGGGCTCGGACCACCGTGACAGAGGAGGAGCCCGAGAATGCCCGGATGCATAGGACGCAGATGGCCGCGCTGGCTGCCATGCGGGCCGCCGCTGCAGGCTTGGGACACCCGTCCTCTCCCCCGGCCTCCGAGGATGGGCGCCCCGGCTCAGAGGACGAAGATGCAGCTCGGGAAGGGACGTTGAGTTCGCCTGCCCTGCATGGAAGAGGCCGGGAGGGACCGGGACACACGGAGGGAGATGGACATTTGATGGACATGGTGTCTGATGACAACCCGTAAGTGGTGCGGTCAGGGATGGCAGCATCTGACCGTTCGTTTGCTTTTACGATTTGTTTTTAGAGCATTGGTTGGTGCTTGGCCTGCATGTCTGTCTGTGGGAGTCTGTCAGATCCCCTGGAACTGGAGTTACAGACAGTTGTGAGCCGCCCAGTGGGTGCTGGGAATTAAGCCGGCATCCTCTGGAAGAGCAGCCCGCGCTCATAACCTGAGCGGTCTCTCCAGCCCCATCTAACCGTTTTTCTGTGCATTTGAAAAGTGGGAGCCAGTGAGGGTCACTGAGGAGGACGCTGTATGTCTGAGCACGTGTTTGTGGAGTGAACCAGTGATTCTTGGAAGGTTCAGCAGGTGCTCTGGGGCCCTGCCAAATGCTGCCAAGGTCATCAGGCTGAGGGGTTACAGAGAGAGGAGTTTTGAAAGAAGGTGGCTTGGGGGCCAAGAGAGAACTGTTGTCAGGGTGTCTAGCTCTGGTGGGCACACATGCTGAGATCCTGGGGCAAGAACCTTTGAGAGGATGTTTTGGGGCCCCTTGTAGGAGCTCGTTCAGGGGTGGAGTAGGATGTGGGCAGAAACCCACTTGGTGCCCTGAGAGGCCTGTGGCTGCCCTTGTTTGCAGAGGGAGAAACTGAGGCAGGAGAAAGTGAGGTGGGCCTGTGCTTGCCACTGAGCCAAGATGGTGCCTGCCTCTCTCACCTGACCGGAAAGTACCTTGATCCATTGCAGGAAGGCCAAGTGGGAAGAACAAGAACTGGAAGAGGAGGAAGAGGAGGAGGAGGAGGAGGAGGAAGATGACTTCGAGGAGGAGGAGGAGGAGGAAGGCCTGGGCCCCCCAGATTCTACTGGCCTGGGCTCTGCAGGCCTGTTCCCTCACAAGGCCCCAGCTGCTCAGGCTTTCCGTGGAGATGGTGGGCCCAGGATACTGGGCGGCCCTGAGCGCCTGGGACCTGGCCCAGCCCACCCCAGTCACGTAACACCCCAGATGCCACCCCCGGACCATGGAGACTGGACATTTGAGGAGCAGTTCAAACAGGTAGGCCGAGAGCTGGGGTCCGGTCCCTTGGGGGCCTTCGGTCGCCCCCACACGCCCCAGTGCTCCTGTTGACCCGGTAGAAGGGTGGTTTGTAGATGGTGGGAGGCAGTTTGTTTACCGTGCAGACATGAGGACTGAATTCAGGGTCCCCGGCGCCCACAAAATCCAGGCCCAGCGGCATAGACAGCGGCGTGTCCTGGTGCTGGACGGTGGAGGCAGAAGGGTCCCTGGGGGCTTGCTGGCAGGGGAGTGCCAGGTACAGTGAGAGACTGTGCCTCAAGAAACAGCTTGGAGAGCAATAGAGGAAGGCGCGCAGCGTCTCTCTCTGGTTTACACTCGTGTGCGCACCTAGATGCATGTGGCTTGGTGACCTGAGACAAGGGTGTGGCGTCGAGCTCTGGAGAGCTGGGCTAGGGTCCTGTGGCAGCGCTGGCCCAGGCTGGTGCCAAGGGACACTCGGTGGCTACCGAATTGTGAAGGTGCTGGAGGCAGCGGGAGCCAGAGCATTGGGGCCTGCGGTGGACAGTCCCAGGGGTGCCGGTGTTGGTTGGCCAGGCAGGGGTCGGTCTGTGGGACCCCCCCCCCAGGCTTCCTGGGCCCAGGAGGGGCATGGAGGAAGCTCAGACTGCCCTAGCCCTTCCCTGCAGGCGGCCAGGCTGGAGGAAGTGGCCAGCAGGGAGCCTTTGAAGCCGGCAAGCCGATGGAAACCAGATGGTTGGCCTGCCGGGCTGAGGCCTGCATTCCAGCCCGGCCAGCTGGCCTAGCCGACCCCTGGGTGTGTGGCCCGGGTGGAAATTGGCTCCGAGGCTGGCTCCAGGGCTAAGTCTTGTGTGGGCTACAAGGTGGGCTCAGGACTCCTGATGGTCCCTGGCTCTGAGCTGTCTAGAATAGCTTCAGGGGCCACCTGAGCTCTGGAGGGATCTGAGGAACAAGCCCGAGGAGGTCCCTTCAGCAACCCTTATTGACACCGAAGACTAGGGCCGGGCGTGTCTGGGAAGCCATTGAGCTGAAGCATCAAGGGGGCTCACGCTGGGTTAAAATTAGGGTACTTGTGGGGCAGGGCTGGGTAAATGCTCTGCTCTGCTGAAATTGCCATGCAAAGGCCCTGAGGCTCAGAGAATAGTTTCGAGGAAATGAGAGTAGGGTAACCCTCTGTGCCCTCGTGGGACCTGCTGAGACGGGCCTGGGCTGGGCGGGGCGGCCTCGCCTTCCGTCTCCTCGCCCTGGCTTGCTTAGCCATGCGTTGGGCAGCCTGCCAGCTGACCTGTCAGACGGACGTCATTGCTCCTGGGTGTGACCCTGTCCCAGAGGTGGTGTGGGCTTCAAGACCAGGTCCCCCAACCCGGGAGTCTTCAATAAGCACACCACACATGAAAGTGTTTGTGCCTGGCAGGGTTCTGTTGGCTCCACCTCGGTCCATGCCTCAGTTTCCCTGGTTCTAGCATGGAGGCAGTCTGCCCCACTCTCAGAGGAGTATTACAAAGGATTGGCCAGGTCTGTCACCCAGACAGGACCTCTGGTTGGGAGTTGTCAAGGTCTGTGCTTTCCACTGGCCGTTTTGAGGTCTGATGTTCCTGACTTTGGCTCAGGGTCTGGGGTTTAGCTCGCTGCAAACTCTGGCACCTAGCAGGGTAGACATCTCTGTCCACTGTGTCACTGTCAGCCCAGGGGGCTAACACCAGGCCACGCGGCAATTTATGGTCAGAGGTACACAGGCGTCCCCTGTGCGCACAGCCAAACCCCACAGCTCCACATCGGCCAGGCATGAAAAGGGCAACAGGGCCAGGGCCCCTTGCGCTGCTAGACAAAGGAGAGCTTCGAGAGCCATTGTCGGGACCTTTCTGGGGGATATCCTGGGTCAGGGTCAGAGGTCATGCAGAGACACTGTGCTGCTAGAGACAGTGAAACTGAGGATGGGAGGAACAGGAATCCCTGGCTCTCGCTTGGCCTCGTGGGTGACTTCAGAAAAACATCGAGGTTAGCAGAGGTGTGTGTGTGTGTCCGTCCACACGGAGCACCGGGGAGATGGCTCATTGGAGGAAATGTCTGCTGTGTAGACATGGGGACATCCAGAGTTTGGATCCCATGGGTCCACGTATAAAGCCAGGCAGGCTGGCATGCTGCCCCTGGGCCTGGGGAAGCTGAGACAGGAGGATCTCGGGGGGGAACATTCGTGCAGAGATTCTGGTGTTAGGGGCCAGCTGGTCTTATGGGAAACAAGCCCGAATGACGGCTGGATTTGGGGGTGCTGTTGGCGGAAGCTGGTCCTGTGGTCCGGGACTCCTATCTCCAGCTCTCTCTGGAAGGTCCCACACTCGGGCCGGCTGCCTTGGCACCTGTGCAGCCTGTGTCAACAGTGGTCCAGCCAGCCCCACAGGTGTCGGCCCCAGGCCCAGCCAGTGTTGACTCTGGCGTCTGCCCCACTCCCTTCCTGGCACGTGGCGGTGCTGGCTAGCCGGCCACTTGGCAACTGTCTCCGTGTCTTCCTTCCTGGTCTTGGCCACGGCTGGCTTCCTCCAGCTGAGCCTAGACAGCTGGGATCCGCCCTGGGCTGTGGGTCTGAGGGCTGGACACCCGGGCGTGGTCAGTGGCTGTGATTAGGATCTGGGCCTCCTGGCACTGGACACATATCCTGCAGCCTTCCTGTCCCCATATGGCCACACCCGCGCTCAAAGTGGCCTCGCTGTGATTTTTCAAGCTGGCAGTCTTTTGTGGGGCGTTTGTTGTTTCTGTGACAGGGTCTCTCTGTGTGGCCCTGGCTGGCCTGGAACTCGCCCTGTAGACCAGGCTGGCCTCCAACTCAGAGAACCGCCTGCCTGCTGGGATTACAGGCCCGTATGTTCAATTTTATGTTGTTGTTGCTGCTGCCGTTTGAGATCCAGTCTTGTCCTCTACTCCAGGCTACTCCCCTGCCTCAGCCTCCTAAGTCCTGGGATAATAGGCTTGCACCACCATGCCTGGCTTTTGGGTCGTTGACGGACTCAAGGTTAAGGTTATGAACAAACGAACGAAACTCCTGTCGGGGTAGGAAAGTTTTGGGCCCTCCAGTTTAATCCGAACAGCCTGGTCACTTGTCCCCTACACAGCTCGCAGCATTTATGTCCCCTGTTCCAGACACTTCCTGTGGTGGACACCCACAGGACGGGGCCTGGCCTGTCAGGGTCTCTCCCCGAGCACAGTGTCCTCAAGGCTCTCTGCTCCTGTTCACAGCTGTGTAATACTCCAGCGTGAGCATGGACCCCCTCATATCCGTTCTGTCTTTGCTGGATGCTAGGTTGTTTCTACCTTTTGCCTCCGCAGCTTCTGTCGTTGGTTCCCGTGGGTTTATTTTTGTTCCTCTTGGCCATGTGCCTGGAGTGAAATTGCTAGGTAGAACAGTAATCAGATAAGTGCCTGTTTAGGAAGGAGCTGTGTGGACAGCAGCTGTCTGTCCAGGTGCCCCTGAGTGTACAGCCATGGCCGCCCATGCCCTCACCCGTCCCCTGCTCCCTGACCTCGGAAATTAGGAAAGGAAGCCCACTGTGGTAGCGCATGCCTGTCACCCCAGCACAGGAGAGGCTGAGGCAGGAGCAGTAGGGAGACCCTGGGTTCCCACCTCTGCTCATCTCACACAGCACTGGGGAGCTAGAGGCAGGAGGATGACAAGTTCAAGCCTGAGCTACACAGTGAGCCTCAGGGAACCTGCTGGGGGGCTCCTCGATCAGTCTGCGAGAAAGACAGACTGGTGGTGGGGAAACTGAGGCATAGGATGGTCATAGTCCGTGTAGGAAGGGCTCACTCCAGCCCTCCTGGAACACTGGCCCACAGTGGATGGCCTGGGACCTGGTGATCACAGGGGCGTTTAGAGAAAGCTGACAGCATTCATGGATCCTCCCTTTCACAGAAAGGCTGAGTCCCTAGCAGGTCTCACACCTGGTGTCATAGCCCAGGCTGGCCCAGAACTCTCCGTTTTTCCTCCTACCTCAGTCTCCTGAAAGCTGAGGTCCCAGTCATGCCCCCCCCCCGCCCTTTCTTCCTAACCCATTAAAATGCTTTGTTTTGCTTTTTTACATTTATTTATTTGCTCCAAGAGGGCAGAGGCCTGAGTGTCACAGCCTGTGCAGAGGTCAGAGGACAGGCTGAAGGAGTCAGTCCTTTCCTTCTCCATGTGGGTTTGGGGGCGGGGACCGAACTCAGGTCTCAGGGTTTGGCTGCAAGCTCCTGTACTCCTGAGCCCTCTTGTGCCCCTTCCCCCCAACGCCTACTTCTAATTCTGGGACAGCGGACAGCATTCCAGGAGAGGGAAAATGGAGTGTCGGGGAGGCCTGTGGCCGGAGGCTGTGACTCTTCACCTCCCCGCCTCCCTCACAGATAGCCAGGTGCTGGAGGTGGGAGCTTTGGGCGGGGCTGACAGGTCTGTCTGAAGTCAGCTCACAGCTCACGTGTCCTTAACCCTGTCGCCTGGCGTGTCTGCCTCTGGCGGAACTTTCATGGCTACCGATGAGAGTGATAGTTTGGAAAATGACGCCATGAGCCTGTGGGGCCACACGGGGTGGGGGCTGGGGAGGAGGTGACAGATTGTCACCTGCCCTGCCTAGGGCACACAGGGTCGGGCTGCAGGAGGGGACATAGCAGCTGGGGCCTTGTCCGAGTAAGAGTCCACTGACCAGGCAAGGGCAGCAGGGGCTGATTCTAGAGCAAAAATGTCTAGAAAGTTCTGAAGAGCCAGAGCAAGCCGGGGTGAGGCAGTTATAAGTAGAGAGGAACTGGGTAGACATGGGGCCAGGGGCTGGTGAGGCAGGGAGGGGAAGGGCAGGCTGATGTTTTCCTGGAGCCGAGTGTGTGCCGCGCAGACCCAGCCTGGAGTCAGGCTCCAGGTGGTGATGGCGGCAGTGTCCTGTCGTCTGGGCTTGTTTGTCTCTGGGCTGACAGCCAGTGCCGGCGGCCAGGCCCAGCTCCATCCTCCCTGGGCTCGGGAGTCCCTGGTGCTGGGGCGTCGGGGACTGGAGGGGTCAGGAAGC